TACTTATGAAATTTGAAGGAAAATCTTGGTTTTCAAAAAATTGTTAAAGATGGAGTTTAATTAAGTATTGGGTTGGCTTGCCTGACAACGATGTCCGGCGCCATCACGACCCTTAGTGGATTTTGGGTCGTGACATGTTGGAATCAACTTCTCTAATTTCTCTAAGGCATATATAGATTTACCAAGCAGAGATGAATTAGAGAGACAAGAAGAAGAAAGACAATAGAGAGTTTGGAAGTTCAATCTCGATACATCCAAGAATAATCAGACCATTTTTTCTTTGCTTAATCAAAGGAATCTGAGCCCTTCATCTTTGATGAGATCAAACAAATCAGAGCCATCCATCTGTGTTGAAGAAAAGACACCTGGCAAGCAACTAATACTAAATTCTAGAAAATTCTTCACACGTGAGAAGAGTGTGAGAAACTTATAGATATCAGAATTTGTTGTATTCTTATTTACATATTCCTTGTTTGTTATACATAGAGCAATAGCATTAAGACACGTAGGATAGGAATAACAGATTTTATTCTCTTTGCTTTGTATATATACACATATACAGTGAACGGATGAATATACAATCAGAAAATTCATCTTTTTTCTATTAGCAATCAGAATCCATTTGTAATCTCAAGTTTCCGCGCACATGCATAATAGTTGGAAGTAATTCTAGAACATCAAAAGTTGTATCATATGGACCTATCTTGTGCAGGTATCGAAATAGGAGCAGTGAGATTTCACTAAGGTGAAAGTGGAGCAAAGAGGATAATGTGAAACAAACAGATGCACTATTTACATGGCGTTGGTGTACAAACGAAACTGACAAACCGCACCATACCGACAATCCGTGTCAAATCGAGAAAAAGATCTGACTATAGTTTGGTTTGATTTGGTTTGGTGTTGGGAAAAAAACCCAATTATAATTGGTTTGGTTTGGTTTTAAATAAAAAAAGTCAAATCGAAACCAAACCAAACCGATATTATATATATAGAAGTTTCAAATATAACTTCATGAGTACTGTATAAATATTAAGGACAAAATTTCCTTAATGTTTATACAACACTCATGAAGAAATGGTAAAACCATCTTTACATATTAATTTTAATAGAGTAGTGACTAGTTTTGCTCAGCATTAAAAATGTTGGATAAAAACTAAATACCACATTAAAAAGTGGCTAGCACATGCCATTTCTACTTAAAAGGCGATGGTGTGAGGCGGTGTGTGTGTGTGTGTGTATATATATATATATATATATATATATATATATATATATATATATATATATATATATATATAGGGATGTAAGTCCCACAAATCTTTAGATTTTTAAATTTACGAATTTCTAATATAGCATTATAACACAAAAAATATAAAAGATTTAAAATTCAAGAAAAAAAATTAAGAAACTCATATAAAATAAAATATCTAGCATTTTTTACAAGTACAAATAATGTAATACTGTTAAAGTTACTGTGAATTATAAATTAACTACAACGTCTTAACTTTCAAACAATTAAATATTATAGTTTCTTAAGAAATATTATCAAACTGCATATTCTACCTCCTAAAAAGTAAATACTTGATTAATTTTATCAACACTGTAATTTAATATTACTCCTTCATGAATATATAAAATTATTTTTAAATCAAAAATAAGGAATATATGATAATTTTGAGAGACGGAGAACTAAGACATGAAGATCTATCAAGTAAAATATAACTTTTGGTTATCTATTTTTAGAAGAAATTCAAATTATATTCACCATCACTATGTTCTCAATTGGAAAGTATACAACACTATGGTTCATTATTTGAGCTATACACAATTTTCATATTTCTACAGATAAAAAAAATTTTAATCATTCATTTGTTAAAGAATTTTGAGAGTCAATAGTTCCAATTAGTGAATTCAACACATGATTCGCATAGGAACTATTAGGCGAGTCCTAAGCGTTGAGCGTTAGGCGTGTTTGGGGCGCACAATCGATGATTGGGGTTGCAAGTCTTAGAGAACTAAGTCTCACACATGAATCTCAAGGCGTTTTGGTTGTTCCCCGCCCCGGAACACCAAAAAAGCAATTTAAAACACGGCTCTGAGCCATAGACCGTGCGTGGAGAATTGGATATTCATGTTGTATCTCTCAACCTCCAAGCATCCAATAGAATCAAAACAGTCATAGAGAGATCGTATAGTGGTAATACATTGAAATCTCTTCTCTTGCAGGATACAAGAAACCAATAAAGAATTTAATCATCTGAAAAGTACTCCCTCCATCTCATAATATGTATCGTGGTTACTAAAAATAGTTATCTCAAATTTTTTGTCATTCTAGAAGTTCAAGACAAAATTGATTATATTTTTTTTCTTTTTTACCCTTAATAATTAATTATCTTAGAAGAGTACGAAAACATTACTTATGGATAATTTTATTCAAATACCAAGAAGTCTACCTTGTAATCTTAAACACTTTAATCATGTTTACACTATTGCAATCAATATTTTAATTACCAAAGTCCTTTATAAAGTATATTCAAACTTTTGAAGTTATGTTAGAGTACACGTAATGAAAGAATATAAAGAAAATAAATGTCATTTATTTGTTGAAAGAGTTTGCATTACTGGTTTGTTAATTATCCTAGGTGTCTCTTCATATATTCTATGAAGCAAATCAATTGCATTCGCATCTAGTAAAAATATGGATAATGTCATTGATGGAGATGACACATAAATTGAGAAAATATTTAATAAGGGTAAAACAGTCAAAAACTATTCTTTTTTAAGTGGTGTGCACAAGAGAATCACGACACATATGATGAGACGGAGGGAATATCAATTTCTACTGCATTTAATGCGTACTGCCATTATTTTTTCATACTTATTGATTATCTGTAGTATTCAAAAGTAATCATAAATTTAATTTACATAGTAAAATTCTTATTTATATTAGTAAAAATTAATTTAAGTTAATAGGATGTTAGTCATGTGTTTGCAATACATGACCTTGGATGTTGTTGTAAAAATTTTAACTAATAGAAAAATTTAAGTAGTTTAATATAAAGTTTTAAAATATACTCCCTTCGCTCTATTTTAATTGATTTTTTTGGTTGTTTTCAAACATATTTAAGGAATTCACCTTTTAATATTAATTAATAATAAAATTGACTACAAACCTTAATTTATTCATTGAAAATATTATAAATACTCCTAGGTTCTTTACTTCAAGGGCAGCTTTGAATAAAAAAAGTTAATTTCTTCTTGATATCTGAAAAATTTATCATGAACTACCTAAAAAACATGCTAAAAATCAATAAAAGTGAACCGGAAGGAGTAAACTTTTTCTTTCTTTGTGCCTCTATATCTTCTTACCCACCATGTATTGGTTTAAGTTTGTTACACAGCTATCAAGAATATAGCATCTAATACCAAGTCAGAGGCAGCGTTATATATTAAGGAAAAAGAGAATTGGTTGAGGTTGACTAAGTACTGGCAGTCAAATTTAAACACCCACAAGAGGGAGTTGGAGTCCCTTGGCGTTTGGACATGTACCAGTCCAATCCGTTAGTGATATTGTTCGCTCTGGACCTAGGTTCTTACGATTTTAAAACGCGTTACTAGGGTCTAGTGTTTGTTAAGTTATATACTCAGAATTTCTCTTGTGTTTTGCCGATATGGGACTCTATCTAAAGTTTGGAGTGTTACATACACCCCCTCGTTGAGGTTTGCCCCACCGCAAGGGATTTGGAGTGTTACATACACCCCCTCTTATGGACTCAATATCCTCGCTGAGGTTTTCCCCACCGCATGGGATGCATCCTCGCTGAGGTTTGCCCCACCGTATGGGATTCGCCTAAACTCAACACTGAAGTTTGTCCCGCCTAACTGAGATTTGCCTAAAGTCAATTGAACTCTGGCCCGCCATCGGCAAGGCTGACACAAAAGTGGCTCTGATACTATATGTAAAAGCCTAGCCCGCTAGTGATATTATCTGCTCTGGGCCTAGGCCCTCACGGATTTAAAACGCATCACTAGGGTGTAGTGTTTGTTAACTTATATAGTCAGAATCCCTCTTGTATTTTGCCGATGTGAGACTCTGTCTAAAGTGTGGGTGTTACAGGACAATCCTATCTATCTATTATCTGTAAGAAGAGGGCGTGTTTCTTTTGTAAATGTTATTAGAAATGGAATGATTAGGGTGCTATGCAGTTTCATGATAAGTTATACACTGAATTTAAGTGTAATAATCGGAAATCAAGACAAACCGGTCACTACGGTAGGATGTGAAAACATCTGATCCCATTTCAGCCCAGTAGTTCCCCAATTACTATCGTGGTTGTTGCCAACAAGGATCCCCCATTCCGAAAGGTTATTAGGTCGGCCGTTAAGGCATCAAGCCAGCCCTTATTCCTTGCATCAACAGGCAATCCCGCATAAAAGAAAAGCTACTGACTTGGTTGATACTAAAAAAAGGATGTTTCCTTTTATTTTATCCTGCTTAAAAACCGAAGAGATAATTTACCATTTTATACTTATTTTACCCTTATCATTTCTCAATATTTTGGATTTATTATAGTCAAAGTCAGTTATCCATTAGTAATAATTAGATGTGATATAGTAAAATTATCATTTTATTAATTGCTTCTTAAAAAGTGTGCCTAGTGAAACATGAACAAGTAAACATGGACGGAGGGCAGGGGCGGAGCTAGCCTTATGGATACGGGTTCGGCCGAACTCAATACCTTTGGTACAAACTCTGTATTTATCTTAAGAAATCCATTAAATATGTACAAATTATTAATATAGAAGCCATTAGCTTAAAAAGACTAAATTTTCAAACCCGTAAGCTTCAAATTCTAGCTCCTCCTCTGACGGAAGGATTAAAAACTTGAGTCGTACTCACCCTTGAAAAATGAACTATTAATGGCTACTACTGCTTAGTTACTAACTTTTTGTTGCAACTATATATTTCGTGCTTTACGGTATAAAATTGAAAACCAAGATAAAAAATTTCAAGAACACCAGTAATAATATTTAATAGAAGTACAAGTAGAAGTTCTCGTTACATGCAACTTTGAGCCTCCTTTTCCTCAAGAAGGTTAATAATAAAAAACAAGAGCAAAAAATTCCACAATGAATCCCATTTTGATACATTTTGCATCGATGTAAACAATAGGAAAAATTCAGATGATAGAAAATTCCAAAACTTACTCCAAACTTACTTGTTTATTTTCTTTTCTTGATCAGCTGCACAAAATGGAATGAACTGTGAAATCAAATACTGAATTTAGATATAAAATCTATCACTCATCACTGTAACAGAGGATTATTCTTTCTCCTCTTATTAAACAAACAACAAGAACAAGCCATTCTTCTCTTTTAAGTCCTGACCAAAGGAGAATTCATTGGAGAATGAACTGGTGAATTGAAATCATCCAATCTTCGAAACGATAAGCTGATTTGAAGTTTGCTCCTACTGCATTGTTTCTTGAATGCAGCAACTTTATTAGTAATACCCTTTGTTTGAAGCACAAAGTTCCTTATCCTTCTTATAGCAATTCTCATTGTTTCATCGTCCATATTCGCGAAACAAACTCTAAACCAACCTGGTTCAGAACAATGAAAAGAACAACCTGGTGAAACATTAAGTTTCACTTCATTGATAATAATTCTCCACAATTCTAACTCAGCTTCAAATGTTGACTCTTTTAGTAGCCTTCTTAAATCCATCCAAAAAAATAAACCGGCGTTACTCTTTAATGTACTAATTCCAACTTGTGCTAGTCCTTTAGAGAACATCCCTTGCCTTATTCCAAGCCTTTCAGAACTCTCAACAATGAATTTTTCGACGAATATTTCATCAGACAACATTGATGCAATCAAATGTTGCGTCTGTGTTGAAACTAGTCCAAAACTCGACATTTTTCTAGCAATGTTCACTACTGTATCGTTGTACGAGTAAACAATTCCAACCCTGAATCCTGGAAATCCCAAATCCTTGGACAAACTATAAACAATGTGGATCAAATCTTGGTTGCATAATCCAAGATTTTCCTCTAGTATTTCGGAAATGCTGATGAAATTGGGCTTATTAAAGACAGTGGCAGCATAAATTTCGTCGCATACTAAATGGATGTTTTTCGAATTAACGAAACTTACTATGTCTTTGAGCGTATCCCGGTCGAGTAGAGTGCCTAATGGATTTGATGGATTGTTTATAAGCAAACCCTTTATTTTAATATTGGATTCTTGAGCTTTCTCATATGCAGATTCTAAGGCTTCTCTAGTAACCTTGAAATCATTAGAACTGTCACAAACAACTGGAAAAAGTTGCACACCAGTTCTCCACCTCAAATCTCTGTCAAATCTGCAATATTACAAATTGAAAATTTACTTTAGTACCAAAAATAAGGTAGATTATCCGCTACATTATTTAAAAATATATTGATAACCAGTGGCGGAGCCACGCGTACTGACACCCCTTCGTCAGAAAATTACACTGCGTAGCTAGGTAAAATTATTTCTCTAATATATATAGATACTACATTTTGACACCCCTTTGTAACATCACGTATATACTTCTTTATATTTTAATCACTTAGTGAAAATCCTGCATTCTCATTGTCCGTATGTGGAAGTTGAATCCTATCTTCTTTGTTTTTTTCCTTTATTTTGTTCCCTTGTGCTGAAAAGCAAACTAGAACATGCAACATTTTTTATGCTTTGTAACGTGGCCTAGTTGTCCTTGAGATGACTGATGAAATATGTCCGACGTAGGATTCTAATAAAATGAATTATGAATGACTTTATGGGGCAAAATGACAAATAAATTGATAATGACACAACTTAATTAATCAAAAGTGGGTATATGATCTGTGAGTTTTTTTGGTCTTTGTCACTTAGAACCAGGAAGTTATGACGAATGTTACTTGAGGACCTACTTTCTCTATTTTGTGTTGATGAGTAGTTGATTTTCATGTCCCACATCAATAATTTAACTAGGTCCAAGCACCCAAAATAAGTTAAAAATATGTAGGTCAATGGAAGACACTATGATAGTGATTTGTAAAAGATAAGATCCCCCAAGTTGATGAAAGAAGAAAAAAGATTAGATAGGAATTTCCTAATTAGAGAAAATATCAACAAATTATGAGTTGGTAAGGATTAAGGACTCTAAAAATAAAGTTTTCTTTCTTTTGGGGCCTTCTTAGTTCGATGGTGATAATGTTTAGAGGGTTTTATGCTATATTAATTGAAGTTAATCAGGCTAGTAAATTTTGAATACTGAATAATTAAAAGAAATAAGGTTTTAATTTCTTACCCGGGATAATATGGTGTAGGAACCAAAAATGCATCGCCAGGATCAGCCAAGCAAAAAGCCAACATTTCATGAGCTCCAGTTGCTCCTCCACTCATTACTATTCTGTTTGGGTCAAATGCGACTTTGTCTCCTCTTACTCTCTCCATAAACCTTGCAACTGCCTGAAATTAAGATTCATATATATTCCATAAGGTAATACGAAGACTTAATAAATAGGCATCTCGTGTTAGCGCAGAGTTCTCGCGAAGGGTCGCACTAATGTAAACAGCCTACCCTAATACAAGGGTCAGTGGCTGCTTCCGGAGCTCGAACCCGTGACTTATAGGTCAGATAGACACGACTTTTACCGTTGCTCCAAGGCTCCCCTTTGATATAATTAATGAACAAGAAAAAAATAGCAACTACTAATTTGGATTTGTAAGATTTCTTTTTTTTTTTTTTTTAGAAAAATAAAATACCATACCTGTCTAAACTCAGGCAAGCCATGATAGTCTTGAAAAATAGCAATATCTTTAAAATCTTCAGCTCCTTCAGTTGTGCAAATGGAGGCTTTTGGGTTATTCACCACCCATTCTTGGATTAAATCAAAGCAAAGCTGCAAAATACATGAAAATAGAGAAATTAACAAAAACTCTAAAGTTTTCAGTTTTAGCCATTTTATCAAGAAAATGGCAGAGAATATATCATTTTTATCTCCTACCTGATTTTCTGCAAGACCCATCTGAATAACACCATTAGGATTGTTAGAGAGATGAAAAGGGTCATTTTCATAAGCCTTCCAACCATCAAAATAGGCTGAGTTTTCTCCATGTCCATCATTTGTGGCTATTTTTGAAAGAAGCTGCTGCTTTTGGTTATTGCTTGAAATGAACACCATCTTCTGAAAGTTGTAGAAAGAATCAAAGATTATGAATAAAATGAAGTGGGTGTTGGCTAATTTTGTAAAACAAGCTGTTTTGACACTTTGAGTATTAGTTTTTAGAAAGTCTAATTTTTGGAATGAACAATGAAGTGGGAAGTGATGCCCTTATTTATACTTGTAATTATCAGTGCTAAATTATATTGTGGGTAATACACCGCACGCGTAAGAGTATTTATTTTGAAAATAAAATCTTGAGATACGGTAGGTGATTAGTACGTAAGTGTGTGCTAATAGCGCACTAGTTATGAACTGTTAAGATTCCCTCTTTAATTTCTAATCTCCCTACCAAATACTAACTCTCCTAATACATATTTAATTTCTATACACTAATAGTAAAATTAATTTTTTATATTATTAGGTCACTTAAAAGATAGTTTTGAAATGTAAATTACAACAATTTAAAATATATGATAGTACAAAAATTCTTATGCACAGTCAAACTTCTCTATAACAGACTCGTTTGTTCCGATATTTTTTTGTTGTTATAGTAAGGTGTTGTTACTAAGAACATATATTATAACATAAGATGAAAAATTAATTCCACAGGAAACTTGGTTTATGTAGTGAAGTGTTGTTATAAAGTATGACTGTTATAGAAAGATCTGACTGAATTCATTATAAAGTATTTTCTCTTAAAAAACTTGGCAATGCCATTAAAATTTTCTACAAACTTCTTCAAGATAATGAACAACAAATTTATTCTTAGTTTTTATATGTTTTATCCTTGTTCATTATTTGTTGGAGACACAAGAGAATTTCTTGAAGACTTTTTAAATTGATATAGTTTTGAAACCTCACATTTTTTAAAATTTCCTCTTGCGAAATTCCAGCACATAAATGGATAACATAAGAAAGTGCTTACACTTTATACTTGATGAAATATATATGCATTAAAATGAACTTGTAACTTATGACTCAAATATTTAACTAATCAATTTCATATTGCATTATTGGCAAAAGCCACAAAGCAAATAAATGTCGGCGAATATGAGAAGTTTATGTCAAACCAATGGATAACATAAGGAATTAACTTAGCTGTTTGGTTGCATCTTTTAAAAAATACGTTGTAGGTTTAATCCTAATCATCATGTCGGATCATCTGACATAAAAGACAAAAGTAGGAAATCGTAGGTGTTTTTTTTTTTTTTTTGTTGGTGTTTTTAACTTTTTAAAAGAATTTGTTTTGTTTTTGTGTTTTGTGTCTTTACTAACTTCAATTTTTTTTTTTAATTTAAGCGTTGTTTCTTGGCAAAACACAGATTTTTGAAGGCAGCGAGGATGCTTCGTTCTGTTAATAGATATATACTACATCCGTTCACTTTTACTTGTTCACTATAAACTTTGCACACTCCTTAAGAAATAATAAATAAAGTGCATAATTATCGTGAAATCCATATTAATTAATGTATATTTTTAACAGATTTGAGAAAATTATTTAAAATGAGTAATTAATACTATGGGTATAACAGAAAAAAAAAATATCTTTTCTTTATATGGTAAAAGTGACAAGTAAAAGTGAAAATCTATTTTTAAAATAGTGGACAAGTAAAAGTGGACGGAGGGAGTAGAAAGTGTAAGAGTTAGTTAGATTGTTTTTAGAAAATGATTAGACTTACAATATTTAAAATTAAATGAACAAGTATATACTGGCCAATCTTTGCCATTGAAAATGTACGTAGTAGTAGTATTCTTAGATTTCTTTTCTGACTTCAATTTCATTTTTATATTTTCTTGAAATGCGTATACATGATGCAGACCATAATTAAATTACAAACTAATTGCACGGTGGAGCTTGTAAATCTGCACAACATATATTGTATTAAATCATTGCGAAGACTCACATGCACGTAATAATATTCAGGTTCGTGTGATAATATATAAGATTAGATTCATTTAATTAATGAATCTTCTTCCTAAATCTTGTACTCTTTCCTGAATCCAGCTATAATCATTTACCATACATCTATTCCCGATTTTTGCATATGAAAAAAGCCCTAGGGAATTATTGTGGCAATTCTTCGAGGACAATGGTAAAGATGTTTTTAATGCTTTTCTTGATCTTGTATAAACAATCTTTAATTGTTACATAATGCGACAAACCCCACCTAGAGAGAGTGTATTAAATCAACCCAAAAGTATACTGATCAATAATTGTATGCAGAGGCGGATCTAGGATTTTTATGCAACGGGTGTGCATTATTTTCTTTATCAGTATCACTTAAAGGCTTTTAGTGTTCAGGTTGCCAAATTATTTATATAATTATTATGTTTTAAGGCATATATACATACATATATATATACATACATACATACATATATATATAAGATTTCTGCCGAAATTTACCGGGTTTGGTGATCCCTCAATGGTACAAGGAGGTCCGCCTCTGAACGTACTTCAAGCTTCCGTGGAGCTACTTTAAAAAAAAAAATATCAAAGTATTTAACTAAAATGAAATAAAATAATTTTAAATATAACGTGACCTAAATTTGAGACATAAAAAGGACAAAGATTTATGAACTATTTGTCATGATGCAAACACCTTTCTTATTATGTCAATTGTCAAATAAATTTTTAATTTTGTCTATCTGCATATATGCTTTTGGGGACACATTCTGCATAATATTACAAGCATCTTTGAATGGCATTTTCCCTACTAATATATGACCCCTCCTTTGTTTGAATCTAGCCTTGGTTTCATAATCTCTAGCACTAAGATGTGTTAAATCAAAACCTAAGAAAGAAAAATGGCATGCAAAAAGGTAAGGACATGAATAGACAGAAATATTATTGAGTTACTACTTTTTTCTCTTGTCTTATTTATAGTTATTAAAATCTATATTCATTTTACTTTATCATTAAGAGACAAACATTAGTTCTCCACTTATTCCGGAGGAGTCAACCTTTTCGTCTCAACTCTCAAATCCATCTTTAAAAACATAAATGCAATATTTTCAGGACAAAAACGTTTTATTATATGAAATTGAACAAATTTACTTTTTGAATCAATTAAAAACGCTACTTTTGCAGAAATAGCAATGCTCCCGTATGACCATTTTTATCAAAACTACTGATTCTAATTAAAGGAGTAAAGTTTTGATTACATATGCAATGACGTCCAATACCACTAAACCAGTACTATAGCTAAATGCTAATGACCACTTATCAACTAATTTGATGATTATTGCTATCGTTAACGTATAATTAAGACATGTGAACTCACATGGCACTATGACTATAGGCTGTGACATAACATTATCACAATATTAAATGTAGATTATGGGATTGTATTAATCCTCAAGAGTGCTTGATTGTTAATCACGACCCTTTTGTCCCCAATTAGTTAGATTAAGTGCTAAGAACTATTATTAATTTTGCTATTAAGAATGAGAAAAGGGGGGGGGAGGGGGGGGGAATCTTAAGGACAAATGTTGGATTAGTCTTTCCAAAGAACGTTAAACGAATATCCACTGTGAATTTAAAGTTTTTATTGATGATTTAAGTAGAAATGACACTAGGTAGCCACTCTAAAGGACTACTATTTAGGAATTAGTCAATGCGTCCTGCATTTCAATTTTTTAGCAGTTCAACTTTTTGGGATATACATGTCATGAGTTGTCCTGAAATTTTAAGATCCTTAGAATAAGTATAAGCTAATCCCTAAATAGCATTCCCAAAAATAGCTATCTGTGTACATCGCCCATGATTTATGTATGTATCAAAGTGTTTAAAAGGAAAATTCAAAAAGCAAAATGAAGTCCACACTCCATATTTTACCAATATGGGCCAATCCCTTATGTTACACAGCCAATTGTTCATTCCTATTTACTTTTTGGACGAGAACACTATATTCATATATAATTGACTTGTTAAAAAATGTGTTTATCCAAATACTAAGGCCCCGTTTGGCCATGAGTTATGCCAAAATAAATTTGGGATTTATTTTCAAAACTCATGTTTGGCCATAAATTTTGCCCACATTTTGGCCAAATCCCAAATCCCAAATTCCAAATCCCAAAATCAGCTATTGAGCTGATTTTGGGCCAAAATTCCAAAACTTGGGAATTATATACATATTTTTTCAAAATAAAGGTGGAAAATACGTTTTGAAAACGTATGTCCAAACACATTTTCATCTTCAAACCGAACTTCACCCAAATCCGATTTTTCAAAAAAAATTTGGGATCTATGGCCAAACGCTAGCTAAGACAACCAAATCTCCGTTTCTCATAATCTTTTTGCCTTTAGAGGTTTAGGTAATATTTAATTTCTATGCCTCGTGTACTCTCATATTTTATCTCCTGTGCCTCGTTTACTTCTATTATGTCTTCTTATGCACTATGTGTTTGACTTCAGTTTGTTACACATCCATCGTCAATATTCTAAAAGTATAATTTGACTGAGAACTTTTACCAAGTCAAAGCTAGAAAACATTAAAAATTTAATCTATATATATATATATAT